GAAGACTGTACTTGGTTGGAAGGTTGCGGCTGCGTAGAGGCCACCTAACTGCTTGAAGGTCGAAGTTGGCGTCGCGGTGGTGTTGACTGTTGTTGATTCGGGCAGTGGACGCGAGAGTGTCCTCATGTTTTACGGATATGACAAAACAGCGGTACGTGTCTTCATGCTTGGTGCTCATGTTGTCGGTTGTTGTTGTTGTTGTAGCGTCGTTGAGTGTGAAAGGCGAATTCTGGTGCTGACGCCCTTTTCTTGTGTCGTTCTTCGTCTAGGTCCATGTCTTTTTGCTCGTCGTGGATTTCGGCGCAGAGGGCTGCTTCGGAGATTCTTCCATGGGCTCGGAGGATGGCTCGGGTGGAGCGCCACTGAGGACCGAGGCAAGTGATGACGACCGTGACGAACGCTTTTTCGGATATTGATCCGCCGCATCGAAGAAGTCTATCGCGCAGACCGCGACAACGACTGATATATGCCATTCCCTTTTTGCCGGGTTGCATTTTCACTGTTGTCAGTTGTGCCATGAGATGACTCTGATTAACGCTGTCTGTTGCTTGATACAGGTTCTTCAAGTGGTTGTACGCAAGCTCGGCGAAGTTGCCGTATCTACGATAAGACCGAATATTTTGCTGCTCGTTTGCTGTTATGTTGCGTAGGAGTATGGTGTACGCCATCTGTGATTGACATGTATACTGCTGCGGTTGTACTGCGTCCCATGCGTTGGGTATGGCAGGGATCGAAGGAGCCGAGAATCTGAGCACCTTCCATCATCAGCTCGAACTCGAATGACCAGGTATAGAAGTCCTTGACATCAAATGGTGTTGATGTTTGCAGTTTCAGAATGTGTGGAAATTGCGACTGCATATGAAGTGCATTCAGTGTCCTTGTTTCTTGTCCAGGTGGAGGCCGGTTTGGCATGAAGCTGATGGAGCCCCACTGAGGCTCGTACGGCGCAAAGATAGGCTGCTGCTGGTATCCGCGCGCAAAGGATGAGCCGTCAAGACTCATGGGAGTAACGCCGTTATTGTTGTCGCTGTTGTTTGATTGCGTAGGTGCTGTTTGCTGGTGTTGTTCGTAGAACGACATGAAGGAGAAGAACTTCTCCATCATGCTTGGGTCGAAGCCGGTTGCCAGGTTTACAGGAGTTTCAGTAGACTTAGCAGCCGGTCTTGTTGCCGTGCCTCCCTCTGTCTGTAGTCTAGAGGCTGGAGGTGGTGCAAGGGTAGTGCCGGGAGATCTTTTAGAGGAACCTCTCTCTTTCTGTGTTGCCATGCCTTCTGTTGTTGTAGGACTTGAGTCTTGCCCTGTCTGCTCTCATACCATGTTGGGCTGAAAACCCTTAGGATCGCTTCAAGGGTACAACTTGGAGTGATTATGTAATTACGGAAGCGTTGTAGTGAATTGTGGTTGAACCACCTTGGACCACTGTGTGAGAGCAAGATAGATTAATTATAGCAAGTAATTCAAAGCCTTTATAGGATTACAGGAAAAAAGAAAAGGTGCAATTAACTGTTGCTGTTGCTGTTGCGGTTGGATATAGCGATGACTCGGGCAACTGCTCAATATCGAGTCAGTTGTGTGTCCTTGCTGTCGCGCTGCCTTTTGACGAGTCAAAGGTCGCTGACCTTTGACCTTCGCTTAACCTCCTGCTATTATATTTTGCCAACCTCCTCGTTGACTCTGACAGAATATGCTGCATATTGTGTAGGCTGTAGTGGGGTACGCTGTAGTGAATACAACATGGTATGAGGGTTTCCTACGTATCCCACCTGCCTGTTAGTCAGACCCTCTTTTGCCTATTCCCTCTTGCCTAGCTTGCTAAACCCTAGCTATGGCTCATGCATTCTAGCTACTGTTTCAACATGCTATCAGAGCGGTTACTCTCCTAGCCTGTGGGCCCACCTGCTTCCGCTGCCATACTGTCTGTCGCGCGCCCCGTGGCGCACGACGTTCTTTTTTTTCTTCCCGCCACGCGCTCGGGGCGCGTGGCGGTTTTCTTCCCGCCACGCGCTCGGGGCGCGTGACGGTTTCCTGCCCGCCGTGCGCCTCGGGCGCGCGCGGCGGTTTCGTGCTCCGTCCCGCACGCTCCCCCCCGTCGTCCGTCGCGGCGCCCCAGAGGACCGGCGCGTCGCCCTCCCGTCGCCCGTCGTGGCGCCCCCAGGGACCCGCGCGTCTCCCCCGTCACCCGTCGTGGCGCCCCCCAAGGACCCGCGCGTCGCTCCCCATCGCTCGTCGTGGCGCCCCAGGGACCCGCGCGCCCTTCGCCCGTCGTGGCGCCCCAGAGACCCGCGCGTCGCTCCCCTTCGCCCGTCGCGGCGCCCCCAGGGACCCGCGCGTCGCCCCTCGTCGCCCGTCGTGACGCCCCAGGGGACCCGCGCGCCGCCCCTTGCCCCGTGCGCCGCGAGCCTGCTTCCTCCCCGCCCCCCCCCCCCCCCCCCCGTTCTCCTTCCTCTCCCTCCTGCGCGTGCAGCTCTGGGGGTGGCGGGTATGGGGATGGCGGGTGTGTGAGTCGTCCCTTGCTCCTCCTCCTCCTCTCTCTCCCACTGCTGCAGCTGCCGCTGAGGGGGGTGGGTGTGTGGGAGCCGAGAGAGTGGCGTTAGGGGGGTGCCGTGGGATTGGCGCTAGGGGTGAGCCAAGGGGTGTGTGAAAAGGGGATTGGGACAGTGGGGGGAGGTTGAGCTGAGGTAGCCGTCGTGATGCCAGCAGCGCAAGTATTCCGGAGCCGGCGTGCTCCGGTAGCCAGCGAGCCCGTTGCACCAGTCGTCAGTGGATCAGTTGCTCCAGCCGCTCGTCGTAGCCGCGGAGCCAGTTACTCCTGTAGTCCGGTGCCGTCGTGCTCCGGTAGCCTGTGTGCCAGTTGCTCCAGTCGCCCGTGTGCCAGCAGCTTCAGCCGTCGCCTCCTATCTCCTCTCCTCCCTCAGTTCTTCTTCCTCCGCCTCACTTGCCCTCTGTTTCCTCTACTAGCTTATGCATGTAAACTTATTATGCGACTGCGTGTTGTGCTGATTACCCCACTTTACCTATGGGGGTGTGTCAGAATATAATATCGTGTAGGCTGTAGTGGGGTACGCGGTAGTGAGTACAACCCTATTAGGGTTTCCTACTTGTGTCCCACCTGTCTGCTAGTCAGACCCTCTTTTGCCTATTCTCTCTTGCCTAGCTTGCTAAACCCTAGCTATGGCTCCTGCGTTCTAACTACTGTTTCAACAGACTCGCTGTTGTCCCGTTGTAGTTCGCTTCGCTTACGACTCAGTGTTTCGACACATTAGAAGCGCAAACTACATGTTTCCACTACCCAAACCTTGGCAATTTAAGATCCCTAGTTACAAGGTGAAACGAGCGATACACTCTCATGTCTGTGAAGCATACATTTTAGCTCTCTTGACGCCAAGTTGAGGTTCCTTTCCGCTTGCTGCAAAATTCTCCCTCAGCATCCAGTCTATAAAAGCTTTTTGCTTGAGTTCTAGCCATTTTGCAATGGGTAACAAATTTCTTCTACAGTATTTCCTTCACATCTTTCCTTTGCTGGCCACGTGGGACACGAGGTTGATGTCTGAGCCTAGGGATTCGCTATTTTTTGGATGGGAGTTTTTCTTCGAACCAATTGGAGCTTGGCCTTTTCTCCCGTAGCTCCATGTGGAGAAGTGGTGGAGGTGGAGGGAGCTTAAGTTTCGGTGTGCCCGATGATATGTTTTCAAGCCTCTATTTTGTCCGCGTTGTCTGATTCTAGGAGACTACCACCAGGAGAACAACTAGCAGAGTGAAGGTCCCGCGCTACCCACAATTAGGTAAATCTCTCGCAGTTGAAGTCCCGCAAGCGTCCCAGGTTCAACCGGATAGTCTAGGATCGGGAACTTCGCTAGGGTAAATTCGTTGCGATAGCCACCTGTGACTGGGGAAGAGGGCTGGCAAAAGGAACTTGAACAAGAACAATCCCAACACACCACGATCCCCAGCCATGGCTTCCCTTCCCTTCCCTTCCACCGCACCCTTGATCACCCTGTAAACGAGCACACAGCTGTACTTTATTTGATCCTTTGCGCTTCCAGCCTTCCACTTCCACCTCTCTCCACTTAGGGTTTGCAAGGAGTACACAGGCCACGCGCTGGCGATTGTTGCATCCGCCGCAATTCACCGAAGCGTGTGGCTGAAAAACCTCTAGTTTTGGAAAATCCGCTGTGGCAGACAATGCGACTCATTGTAGGCTCGTTGGTTGGCTACCTGCTCGCTAGTAAAGGAACAAGCATGTCGTGGTAACCCGCTGTCCTTCACTTCCGTAGCACGGTGTAGTACTACTACAGTATGACGATGCAGTACTGTAGAATGCGCACGCATAAACGATTCTCGGCTGTCAACCCAGAAAGCTATTGCTATTGCTAGTCCTTCCGCATTCGGGAACTCAACAATAGGGTGATCTTCGCGCCGACCGTCCACCACGTTCCGCAATGCCGTTTTACCATGAGGATGCGAGCATAACGTAGTCTCGCAGCGTTTCAACGCTGGCGCTCCGCACTGATCGCGTGGTTCGCGCAGAAACGGGCGATGCTATTATAGCTGGCGGCGCCCGTATAGCCGCGTGATTCTCGTACTAGAAAGTTTCTGTAGTAAGCAAGGCTCGCGCATTTAGCAGCGGGTTGTAGCCTCCTCTTGATCGACTCAATTGTAGCCTCCATGACGCGTCTCCGCCAAGACTGAATGACTCTACTATTGCCACGCGTCATGGCGTTCCACGAGGCTTCAGCGGGACAGCTACTAGGCGACAGGCAAGAAGAATTGTGACGTTGTACTAGTAGAAGCACGGCTCGCCGTTTCCTCTCGTCGCAGTGGAACCAGAGTTCTCATTGGTTCGGATCGGTTTTCATTGAGTCCGATTGGTTCCAAATCCTGAAACCATTTTCATTCTCTGGTAAGGCGTGGTCGCCGTTCCTCCTGGTAACCGTTTCATCTCGCTTGCCCTCATGGCGACGACAGTCGTGTACAACGGCACGAGTTACAATGTTACCAACATGACGCTGTCGGAGGTGCAAGCGCGCGTGGCGGCGCTGAACTCGTCGGTGCAGAGCATGCAGACGGAGGTGCAGAACGCCGTCATGCTCACCGCCGAGATCTGGCGCATCACGGCCGGCGTGTTCGTGTTCCTCATGCAGGTGCGGTGCTGTGCGGTGAGGAGGTCTCAGGTGCGGTGAGGGAGGTCTCAGGTGGGGTGAGGGAGGTCTCAGGTGGGGTGAGGTGGTTGGAGTAGACTCAACAAGCTGAACTCGTCGGTGCAGAGCATGCAGACGGAGGTGCAGAACGCCGTCATGCTCACCGCCGAGATCTGGCGCATCACCGCTGGCGTGTTCGTGTTCCTCATGCAGGTGCGGTGCAATGCAGTGCGGTGGGAGAGCTCCCAGGTGCGGTTTAGAGCTTTTTGGTGCGGTGAGGTGTTTTGAGTGGACTCAACACGCTGAACGCGTCGGTGCAGAGCATGCACACCGAGGTGGAAAACGCCGACATGCTCACCGCTTTGATCTGGCGCACCACGGCCGGCGTCTCTGTGCCACAGAGGTGTTTCTCATGCAGTTGCGGCGCGAGAGAGGTTTTTGGTGCGGTGAGAGAGGTCTCTGGTGCGGTGAGAGAGGTCCCTGGTGCGGTGAGAGAGATGGCTTTGTGGTGCAGTGAGGGCATAGCTGGGTGACAGCTAGAAACAGGGTGCGCAAGTGCGTCTTTGTCGTCCTCATGTAGGTGCGGTGCGAGATGTTTTTAGAGCAGTGATAGAGGTCTCCAGTGCGGTGATAGAGGTGTCTGGTGCGGTGAGAGAGTTTTCAGGCTAGGGTGGCCTAGGGTGGGCTAGGGTGGGCTACGGTAGGCTAGGGTAGGGCAGGGCGGGCTAGAATGGGCTTGGGTAGGCTAGGGCGGGCTAGAAGGTGCGCCTTCCTTCTCTTCGCCTCACATCCTTCTCTTCGCCTCACATCCTTCTCTTCGCCTCACATCCTTCTCCCCGCCTCCCATCCTTCTCCCCGCCTCCCATCCTTCTCCCCGCCTCCCATCCGCCTCCCCTCTGCACACCCGTCTCTCCGCCTCCAATCCCTCTCCCCGCCTCCCATCCCTCACTTACCCCTTCCCATCCGGAAACACCTGTGCTTTCCCCTATTTGAGGCCTATACCTTTCGTGTGAAGAACGTGCAGGACACGTGCAGGACACGTGCTAGGCAAGTGCATGAGCGCCACGTCTCACACCCGTTTCACCCTTCTGCCTATCCTTACAGCTGGGCTTCTCGCTGCTAGAAGCCGGGACCGTCCGTTTCAAGAACACGCGCAACATCATGATAAAGAACGTGCTGGACACGTGTGTGAGCGCCATTGCTGGTAGCACCCATTCATATCCCCCCCGGCTCCCTCCTTTCGGTCCACCTCCCACCCTTCTCCCCGTCCCCCATTTGTGCAGCTGGGCTTCTCCCTACTAGAAGCCGGAACCGTTCGTTTTAAAAACACGCGCAACATCATGATAAAGAACGTGCTGGACACGTGTGTGAGCGCCATTGCCTTCTGGCTGCTGGGCTATGGCATTGGCTTTGGAGAGGGCTCCAAGGTGTTCGGTTGGAAGTACGACGATGGCTCGGTACGATGTGATATGGATGGGTGGGAGTGGTAATGCGTCTGATTTTGTGATGGTATTTGAGGCATCTTGAGAGGTTTTGAAGAGGGCTCCAAGGTGTTCGGCTGGAAGTATGACGACGGCTCGGTACGCATGGGTGCTGATGGGTGGGAGGGTGGCGGTGGTTGAGTGGTGAGCGCCATCGCCTTCTGGCTGCTGGGCTATGGCATTGGCTTTGGCGAGGGCTCCAAGGTATTCGGCTGGAAGTATGACGACGGCTCGGTACGCATGGGTGCTGATGGGTGGGTGCAGATGGGAGTGTGTTATGGCTCGGTGAGATGCGGTATGGCTGTATGTGCTGGGAAACGAAGCCCATTCTGTTCTGTGTACTTGTAAAGGAGATGTCAACTTTGGTGTGTTTGTATTATTCCCAGCCCAGTTGCTCCCCTCTCTCCCCTCTTACTCCCTCCCTCCTCTTACCCCTCGTTTCTCACTCACTCACCCAGTCCCACTCCCTCCACGCCTCCTCTCCTCCCTCCCTCCCACACCTGCCATGTCATGCAGGTTGCATATGCGAGCGGGCAGAATGGAGTTGATTGGTTCTTCCAGTTCACCTTCTGTGCCACGTCAGCAACAATCATTGCAGGGGCGGTGGCTGAGAGAACTCACCTATGGGCCTACCTCACATTCAAGTAATCACCTGTTTGCCGTTATGCTTCTTTATATATTGTGTGCCGCAGGACCTGCTGTGTGCCTTGCTATAATGTGTGTGCCTCGTTATAAGAGAAGTGTGCCTCGTTATGCGTGTATGCCACAGTAAAGTCATGTGTCTCGTCGTTGTGGCTTGTGTGCTTCACTATAAGCTGTACGCATTGTTCTGTTGTACGCTGCATGCATCACCTTTAGGGACGCCCTTGACTAGAGCAGCCCATGTTCCTTGTTACAAGTCTTCAGACTTTCAGTCCCGTTATTGGCTGCCTCTTTGATTATGGATAGGGGAGATCTGATGGCCTACAATCTGTCTCGCTGTGGCTGCTCATTCCTTTCCTTTTTCCGCCCCCAATCCTTCCCCTCCCCCAGCTTCTTCCTGTCACCGCTCATCTACCCCGTGATAACCCACGTGATTTGGTCGCAGGTGCTAACCACCCAACCCCCTCACTTCCCATGCCCACCTCCTCCATTTGCGCCCCAATCCTTCCCCTCCCCCAGCTTCTTCCTGTGACCGCTCATCTACCCTGTCATCGCACATGATATGGTCGCAGGTGGCACTGCCACTAACTTCCCAACATCCTCACTTCCCATTCCCACCTCCTCCCTTTGCGCCCCAATCCTTTCACTTCCCCAGCTTCTTCCTATCAGCGCTCATCTACCCCGTGATAGCGCACGTGATCTGGTCGAAGGGAGGGCTGCTGGAGGTTCACTCCCCTCACTTACCCTCCCTCTCTCCCCTCTCCTTCCTCCCCTCCCAGCTTCTTCCTGTCAGCGCTCATCTACCCCGTGATAGCGCACGTGATTTGGTCGCAGGGCGGGCTGCTGGCGGCGAGTCAGAGCAACACGGTGCTCAACACTATCGGCGTGCTGGATAACGCGGGGTCTATGGTCGTGCACGTCACTGGTGGGTGGGTTAGGGTTACGATGTCCGGTTGGCTGATGTAAACGGGCCACAGGGAGGCTCAGAGCAACACAGTGCTCAACACCATCGGCATGCTGGGCAATGCGGGTTCCATGGTCGTGCATGTCACTGGTGAGAGCAGCTGTGGTTGCTGTGGTAAAGCGGTGGTGAAAGACAGAGCAACACAGTTCTACACACATTGGGTGTGCACGATTCCTGGGTGCATGTCACCAGTGGGTGGGTGCATGCCATGTCATGAGTGCATGTGACAGGGGCAGGGGAGGGGAGAGCAGTAGTGGCCACAAACTCGTGCATGTGCATGTCATGGTCGTGCATGTCACTGTGTTCAGCACCTTTGCCACACTCGTGCACCTTGTCATTCATTCCTCCCTCCGTCTCATCTCCCTCGTCCCCCCCTCCCCTTTCCCTTCCTTCTTCTCGTCCCCTTTTTCTCCCCCCTTCCCGCATGTGCCCATTGGGGCACCTGTTTGTTGAACAGGTGGCGTCACGTCATTGGTGGGGGCGATTCTGGTGGGACCGCGCATAGGCCGGTTCGACATTGATGGCAAAGTGGTGCCCTTCAAGTGCCACTCCGTGGTATGTTCCTTCCCTCCCTCCCTGGTACTTCCCCCCCCTTCAACCCCCTCCCTCCCTCCCTGCTGCCACTCTCTGGGGCGTCTGTCTTATTATCTTGTCTTCCATGGTGCATTGCATTGCATTGCATTGCATTGCATTGCATTGCATTGCATTGCATTGCATTGCATTGCATTGCATTGCATTGCATTGCATTGCATTGCATTGCATTGACAGCAAAGTGGTGCCCTTCAAGTGCCACTCCATGGTGCGTTCGGAATACGTCTGCCCTTCTTTTCGTCTTTAGATCCCCTCCCTATTTCGCCTTCCTCCGTCCTCTTGTTCTTCCACCTTCTCCTTACACAAACACTTTCCTACTCCCTCCCTCCTCTTCTCCTCTTGGACCCATTCTCTTTTCGCTCTCCCTCCCCCGCGCCTCCTCTCCCACCTACGGCCTGCCCTATCCGTCCCACAGGTGTTCATAGCAGCGGGCACCATCATCCTGTGGGTGGGCTCCCACGGCTTCAACGGGTGTTCGCTGCTTCCCCACATTTGCGCGCCCACCCTGCCTGTCTTCCCCCGGCCCCCCTTTCCTTCCCCACCACGCACAGGTGTTCATAGTAGCGGGGACCATCATCCTCTGGGTGGGCTTCTACGGCTTCAACGGGGGTTCACTGCTCTATTGCCCGCCCACCCTTGCTCGTCTTTTCCCCCCCACCCCTTCCTTACCCACCCCCTCCAGGTGTTCATAGCAGCGGGCACCATCATCCTGTGGATGGGCTGCTACGCCTTCAACGGCACAACGCTGGCCCCATTGCCCACACGTACCCGTTTTCGTGCACCCTCACGGCCTCGCCCTTCCCCATCTCCCCCCCACCCACCACCACCCCCCCTCCAGGTGTTCATAGCAGCGGGCAGGTTTTTGAGAATTCTCAAAAACCAGCTCATCCTGTGGGTGGGCTTCAACGGCACACTGCTGCCCCCATAGCCCTCACTACCCACTCTCATGCTCCCTCACGCACCAACCCCTGCCCGCAGGTGTTCATAGCAGCGGGCACCATCATTCTCTGGGTGGGTTTCTACGGCTTCAACGGCGGCTCGGTCTCTCTAGTCGGCCAAGCTCCACTCCAGTGGGTGCAGGAGGTGGCGCGCGTGTGCGTCAACACAACCATCTCCGCCTCCTTCAGTGGCGTCACCGTGTGGACGCTCACGTACCGGCGGAGGGAGCCCGTGCCAGAGGACACGTTTAATGGAGTGATTGGTGGGCTGGTGGCGGCGTGCGCTACCAGCAGTGTGGTGGAGCCTTATGCTGCTGCGATTATTGGCGTGGTCGCTGGCTTGATGTACCTGCTGGGGTGCTGGCTCATGTTCCGGTGCGTGGGAGCGTGGGGTGGGAGGGGTGTGGCACTGTATTTAGCATGAGTGAGTGTGTGGAGAGGGCTGGTGGCGGCGTGTGCCACGAGCAGTGTGGTGGAGCCGTATGCCGCTGCCATCATTGGGGTTGTTGCAGGGCTCATGTACTTGCTTGGTTGCTGGCTCATGTTCAGGCGGGTGCGAGGTAGGGTGGGAGGGATGGAGGAGTGTGGAAGTGAGTGTGTAGTGTGTGCGGGGGGGTGGATTGGATCTATGTGTTAGCCACAGCAGCAGCAAGGTGGGGCAGGGCTATGTACGCGCTGAACTTCTGGCTCATGTTCCGGTGTGTGGGAGGTAAAGAGGGTGTGTGGGAGGAGGTAAGGAGGGAAGGAGTGGTTGGACTGGAGGGTGGGAAGGTGGGAGCATGGGCGGGAGGGTGACTGGGTGGACCTAAAGGTCACCTGCTGGGCTGCTGGCTCGTGTTCTGGTCGTTGCGAGGATGAGAAGGAAGGTGGGGTGTGATATATGATCAAATAGACCATTCAGTGCTGGCGGCCCCAATGCACCTGTTATGCAGGTCGTGGGGTGGCATAGCAGCAAGCGGGGCTCTTCACCCTACTCTCTCCTCTTTGCCCTCCCTCTCCCTCTTTGCCCTTCCTAGTGGTGGGGCGGAGTGCCAAGCTGCCAGCAGCAGGGAACTTCGTCACCCTAACCAAGGATGGCATCACCGTAACCCCCCTTCACCCTTCCTCTCCCACCCCACACACCACCAGGTACCAGATAGACGATCCAGTGCAGGCGGCAGGGCTCTTTGCCACCCAGCACAGCACCACCTTAAACCCCTTTTCCCTCCATACATACCCACCCCACACACCACCAGGTATCAGATAGACGATCCAGTGCAGGCGGTACCAACGCATCTATTCTGCAGGTCGTGGGGCGGAGTGGCAGCAGGGCTGTTCGCCACCAGGGATGGCATCACCGCCACCATAACCCCATTCTCGTTCCCTCTCCCACCGCCCACCACCGCACACCACCACCAGGTATCAGATCGACGATCCAGTGCAGGCAGCACCGACTCACCTGTTCTGCGGGTCGTGGGGGGAGTGGCAGCAGGGCTGTTCGCCACCAAGGACGGCATCACCCTAACCCCCTTCTTCCTCCCTCTTCACCGCACACAACCGCACACCACCACCAGGTACCAGATCGACGATCGAGTACAAGCAGCACCAACGCATCTGTTCTGCGGGTCGTGGGGCGGAGTGGCAGCAGGGCTGTTCGCCACCAAGGACGGCATCACCGCCACCATAACCCCATTCTCGTTCCCTCTTCTACCACACACCACTGCACACCACCGCACACCATTGCCACCAGGTTTCAAATCGACGATCCAGTGCAGGCAGCACCGACTCATCTCTTCTGCGGGTCGTGGGGAGGCGTGGCAGCAGGGCTGTTCGCCACCAGGGACGGCATCACCCTAACCCCCTTCTTCCTCCCCCTTCACCGCACACAACCGCACACCACCACCAGGTATCAGATCGACGATCCAGTGCAGGCAGCCCCGACGCACCTGTTCTGCGGGTCGTGGGGAGGCGTGGCAGCAGGGCTGTTCGCCACCAAAGACGGCATCACCGCCACCTACGGCGTCTCCCCGCCCTCCTGGGGGCTCTTCTATGGAGGCGGTGGCTGGCAGCTGCTGGTGCAGGTGGGTGGTGTGAGTTGGTCCTGCGTTGTATGAATGGCATGTCTGTACCTGCTCAGTGGGCCTCTTCGCCACCAGGGACGGCATCTCCGCCACCTACGGCATTGTCCCGCCCACCCTCCTGGGGGCTCTTCTATGTCTTCTTCTATGTGGGGGGCGGCTGGCAGTTGTTAGTGGAAGGAACTGTGTTGCATTACGCGGTTTAGGGCTGGTATGTGTCATCTCATGTCATGTCATGTCATGACTAGGGCCATACCTGGGGGAGGAATGGGCCGTGCCTTGCAGCACCAGCGCAGACAGATGAGGAGACTTTGTGTGAGTGGACAGATGTATGAGTCGGCAGGGAAACCGGCACAGTCAGCCAGACAGCGCCACGCGTGGTCTCACCCTCCTGCTGCCGCACTGGGATCACGTCGCTTGACGTTAGTTCCATGGCAAGTAAATTTGCTGGGATAGGCTGCTGCTGCAGGCCTGCTGGGATGGCATTTGATTCATTTGCGTTCCTTGTTCCTCCGCGGCTGCTCTCTCTCAATCCCCGCTTTCAGATTCTGGCGCTGCTGCTGGTGTACGCATGGGTGGGAATCACAACATGCGTGCTCTTTGTGTTTCCTTCTTCCTCATCCTCTGCCCTTTTACCCCTCGTCCCCCCCAACCCTCTCCATCCCCGCGTTCAGATCCTGGCGCTGCTGCTGGTGTACGCGTGGGTGGGCATCACCACATACGTGCTTTTTGTCTTTCTGGGCGCCTTTGGTGTGCTGCGAGTCAAGAGGCAGGAGGAGGAGGTGAGACGGTACCACTGACTCCCCTTGGGTGGGCTGGTGGGCCGTTGGAAGGGAGTGACCACGCCTTTGCTCTTTCTGGGCGCCTTTGGTGTGCTGCGAGTGAAGAGACAGGAGGAGGAGGTGAGTGAGAGGAGGTGAGGTCAGGGGGAGGAGATGAGATGAGGAGGTGAGGGTGGAGGGAGGAGGTAAGGGGGAGTGGGTGAGATGACAAGGGACGACAAAGAGGTGGTATGATGTGATGTGAGTGCATGCATCGACACCGCCCCCCACCCCCACCTCCCTCCCACCCCTCGTCCCCTCCCCCCCATTCCTCCTCTCCCCAGGTCAGCCTGATGTTGCCTTCCATGGGGGCGAGAGGGTGGCGAGGGCAAGGGAGAGGAGCTGACATGGAGGACAGCCTGTACGGCATTAGTGGTAACCGCAGCTTGTATCTCTCTGCATCCCTCCCCACCCCCCGCCCCTCCCCCACCACAGGTTGGTTGAGATGTGGCCTTCCATGGGGGCGAGGACGAGGGAGAGGAGTTTGACACGGAGGGCAGCCAGTACAGATGCTTCTAATCTCGTCTCCTTTCCCCACTCCTTTCCCCACTCCTTTCCCCACTGGCAGGGCAGCAGGCGGGGAGTGGCTGGAAGGAGGGTTGGGGTTTCGCGACGGTTTCAAGTGCTTCTTTCTCTTTGTTCACCCCTGCACCGGCTTCTGCTCCTGCATTCCTGTCCAATCACAGGTCGGTCTGGATGTAGCGTTTCATGGAGGCGAGGACGAGGGAGAGGAGTTTGACATGGAGGACAGCCAGTACGGCGGGCGGCGCTTCCTCACCGGCCGCTCCATGCACCACCGCATGCCGGGAGTGCTCGAGACCATCGTGCGCATGCTCAACCCCAAGCGCTGGGGGCGCCCAGGCGGGCCCGCAGAGGCGTTCGGGCAGAAGCGGGACGTGTGGCACAGGGCGCTGGATAGCACGCCGTATGGGCAGTTCTCGCTGGCCATGTATGAGGCGAACTATGTGATGGAGGACACGGCTGAGGTGGAGGGGAGTAGCAGCGGGGTTTATATTGGCGTGCATGATGGGCATGGGGGCACTGAGACATCAGAGTTCCTGAAGGAGAATCTTTACTTTAACCTCAAAGGTGAGGGGGATTTGGTTGAATGGCCCTTGTGGCACTGTAATGAATCTCCGGGGTGGGAAAGAACTGACTCTCGTGGCGGTGAAAAAGACGGGGATGAACGTAACATGTATTGTAAACATGTTGTTTCATCCATCCCTGATATGCTTGAACCGGTCTGTGCCTCTTCAGGGTGCAGAGCCTGGCTTCAACGTTGCGGTTGCGTTGAGGTGCCACAAAAAGTATCTTGTGTCTTTCCTGTGTCTTGTGGCTGCGCAGCGCAATTCATGCACCAGGGCGGGCAGGTGTCAGCAGAAGCAGTGAGAGGAGCCTTCCACGAAACTGAGACTGCTTTCACCCAGGTACCGCCTTTTACACCCGCAAGTCGTGTGTTGCGCCTGGATTGTGCTCTCTACTCTACCAACCAACTGCCTTCCTTGCTCTCTCTCTCTCTCAAAGACTCAAACCACGCCCCTCCACCCCGCACGCACTGCATCCCGTTGCCCACTGCCACCTCCACTCCACCTCCCAACTTATTCCCCAAAGTGAACAAAACAGGCATCCGTTTGCACCCCTCCCCCACCTCTGTGCACCCCGCTTATGCTCAGGTGAAGCTACAATCGTTTGAGGCGAGCCCCCATCTGGCGACAGTGGGGTCGTGCAGTGTGGTGGCCGTGGTCATTGGGAATGCCTCTTTAGACTGAACTCAGTAGCAAATTATTTCACACCATGCGCACCCCTCCTCACTCCTCGTCACCCCTCATCCCCCCTTGTCACCTGCAGGTGGTGCGGCAGTCGTTTGAAGCGAGCCCCCATCTAGCAACGGTGGGATCGTGCAGTGTGGTGGCGGTGGTCACTGAGAATGCCCTCACAATAGCGAATGAAACATGCATGCACCCCTCTGCACCTCTCTGCACCCCTCCACACTGCTCTGCGCCCCTCAGGTGGTGCGGCAGTCATTTGAGGCGAGCCCCCATCTAGCAACGGTGGGATCGTGCAGTGTGGTGGCGGTGGTGACAGGGAATGCGCTCTGGGTGGCCAACGTGGGCGACTGCAGGGCTGTGCTGGGGCAGGTGAGATTTGGGGAGTGTGGGATGTTGAACACTTGGGCAGGTGGGATGTGGGGGAGGGGGGGGCGTGCAGTGTGGTGGCGGTGGTCACAGGGAATGCGCTCTGGGTGGCCAATGTGGGCGACTGCAGGGCCGTGCTAGGGCAGGTGGGTGGGTGGGATTGGGGATGTGGGGGGTGTGGGGTGTGGGGATTTTGTGGGGGAGTGGGGGTCGTGCAGCGTGGTGGCGGTGGTCATTGGGAATGCTCTCTGGGTGGCCAACGTGGGGCAGGTGAGATGTGGGGCAGGTGTGATGTGATGTGATGGGAGGTGGGATATGGGGCAGGTGGGATGTGGGAGGTGGAAACAACTGCAGTGCTTATGAAAATGTTCAAACAAGTAGGAAAAGAGTTCTCATTAAAAATCTTGCTAATGAGCTTGTTGGGGGTAAAAAGGAAGGAGCTCTTCTTACACACTGCAGCCTCCATCTCCCTCCCTCGAAGCTCTTTCCTCATCCCACACCCCTTCCTCCCTCCCTCCACCGTCACCCACCAGGTTCTCACGAAGTTGTGAATTTAGCCTCGCCTCTCACAAGAGGCTACCTTTGCTTTGGTGTCAGCACCACTTCTTCTTTTGGTGCAGGGCGCAAGGGAGACGGCTTCTTGGTGGAGTGCCGTGCGCTGCAGCCAGTGACTGTGGGCCGGAAAGAAACGGAGCTGTCTTCTCACTCTGCTGCACCGTATCTCTTCTCCGCTCCCACCTCCCCCCACCTCCCCTCAGGTGCGCAAGGGAGACGACAACTCACTGGAGTGCCGCGCGCTACAGCTATCAGTGGACCACAACCTGTCGTTCGCTTCAATCCGAGACAAGCTCAAAGAGGAGCAAGCCGACATGCTGACATGCCCCTCCCTTCCTCGCCCCCCCCTCTCCCTCCCCCCCCCCCCCTCCCTACCCACCAGGTGCGCAAGGGAGACGACAACTCACTGGAGTGCCGCGCGCTACAGCTATCAGTGGATCACAACCTGTCCTTCGCGTCCATCCGAGAGAAGTTCATCGAGGAGCATGCCGACATGCCCGATGCTGTGGTGGAGAAGCGCGGGGGGTTCCGCGTGAAGGGCAAAGTGACGGTGAGTCAAGGCGGACGGAAGTGGCAGTGAGTGCAACCCTCATTTTGTGTCAGCAGGGTCCATGTAGGAGCATGCTGACATGCCCGATGCTGTCGTGGAGAAGTGCGGGGGGTTCCGAGTGAAGGGCAAAGTGACGGGGAGTGCAATGGGAAGAGGTGTGTGTGAGGAAGGAGGGTACCACCTAAGTTCATTGAGGAGCATGCCGACATGCCCGATGCTGTTGTGGAGAAGCGAGGGGGGTTCCGCGTGAAGGGCAAAGTGACGGTGAGTGCAGAGAGAAAGGAGGAACAAGCGCAGCAAGCGGTCACTGTTCTGCCGGCCACGAGCGCAACGAGAAATCTGAGCCCTGTGGCGCTTCTCTCGCACTTTGGCGTGGCGAAAACCTTCCTTCCATCCGCCGCTGCTGCCATTCCGCCCTGCATTGCACCATCAAGTCAAGACACTGCTTCTTCCCCCATCACAACTGCACGGCCGAGCCATCCTCCTTGCCTCCTTCCCTCCTTCCCTCCTGCGTACGCTCCCATCCCCCTCCCCTGCCCTTCCCTCCTCCAGGTCACCCGGTCCTTCGGCGACCTGTATCTCAAGTCCCACGAGTTCAATCGAGAGCCGCTCCTGACTCGACTCAAACCTTACTCTACCTCCCGTCGCCCCCTCTCTCGTGCTCTCCTGCTTTCCCCCATGCAGGTCACCCGGTCCTTCGGCGACCTGTATCTCAAGTCGCACGAGTTCAACCGAGAGCCGCTCTTCTCGCGCTTCCGGGTGCCGGAGCCCTTCCACCCGCCTCTCCTGTCCTGCGAGCCCAACATCGCCGTGCGCCTGCTGTCGCCGCACGACTCCTTCGTCATCCTCGCCTCCGATGGGCTCTTTGAGTTCATCAGCAACCAGGAGGCTGTCGATATCGTCGCCAGCAGCCCCAGGAAGGTATGTTGCTACAGCTGCTGTGGTTAAGTGCGGTGCAGAGCGGTAGTAGCTGTGGTCGAGTGCAGTGCAGATGGGATGTCGTCATCCCCGCCTCTGACGGACTCTTTGAGTTCATCAGCAACCAGGAGGCTGTCGATATTGTCGCCAGCAGCACCAGGAAGGTGAGTCGTGGTCGAGTGCGGTGCAGATGGGCTGCAAATGGGATCTTTGAGTTCATCAGCAACCAGCAGGCTATCGACATTGTTGCAAGCAGCCCCAGGAAGGAAGGTGAGCCTGCTGCTGTGCTGCGAGCAATCCTGGAATCACGGCTCGTGCCTTCTCTCGCTCCACATCCCCTTCCTCAACCCTTCTTGCACCGAACAACGCCTGGCCTTCATCTCCCTCCCTCTCTCCCCCGTCCCCCCCCCTCCCCATTCCTCTCCTTCCCCCCTTTTCCCCTCCACTCCACCCCTGCACCCCCCATCAGGACATAGCCCGGCAGCTGATCCGGGCGGCGCTGCGGCGGGCGGCAGAGAGGCGGGAGATCCGATACCAGGACCTGCTGCAGATGGCGAGCGGGCAGCGAGCGAGCGAGCTGCAGCTGTGCAGCGAGGAATTCTGAATTCTATGCGTGCACCCCCTTTCGCTCCTCGGCCCCTTCATCAAACCTCCTACTGGCCTTGCTCTCCCCTCCCCTCTCCCCCCTCTCCCCCCCCTCTTCCTCCTCCGCCCCTCTCTCCCCTCCTTTCCCCCCGTCACCCCACTTCCCCCCACTCCCCCCCCTGACGGCCCATCAGGACATAGCCCGGCAGCTAATTCGGGCGGCGCTGCGGCGGGCAGCGGAGAGGCGGGAGATCCGATACCAGGACCTGCTGCGCATGGCGAGCGGGCAGCGAAGGGAGTACCACGATGACATCACCGTGGTGGTGTTTTTCTTCAACCATGAGGCCAGGAATAAGCATGCGAAGAGCAACAACATGACCTGGAACCATGTACGTGAGGGAATCAGGGAGCGGAAGAGGGAGCGGAAGAGGGAGCTGAAGTGGGAGGGGTACGACAGAGGGAGTAGCACGATGACATCACAGTGGTGGTGTTCTTTTTCAACCATGAGGCCAGGAATAAGCATGCGAAGAGCAACAACATGACCTGGAACCATGTACGTGAGGGAATCAGGGAGCGGAAGAGGGAGCGGAAGTGGGAGGGGAAGAGGGAGCGGAAGTGGGAGGGGAAGAGGGAGGGGAAAGAAAGAGGGAGTACCACGATGACATCACGGTGGTGGTGTTCTTCTTTAACCATGAGGCGCGCAACAAACATGCCAAGAGCAACCTCACTTGGAACCATGTAAGTGATGTGACGCCTTCACAAGAGGAGGGAAGAGAGGAGAGTGCCGGAGGGAGTACCACGATGACATCACCGTGGTGGTGTTCTTCTTCAACCATGAGGCCAGGAATAAGCATGCGAAGAGCAACAACATGACCTGGAACCATGTACGTGAGGGAATCAGGGAGCGGAAGAGGGAGCGGAAGAGGGAGCGGAAGAGGGAGCGGAAGTGGGAGGGGTACGACAGAGGGAGTAGCACGATGACATCACAGTGGTGGTGTTCTTTTTCAACCATGAGGCCAGGAATAAGCATGCCAAGAGCAACTTGGCGTGGAACCATGTACGTGTGTGTGTGAGCGTGTACGTGTGGGGGGGGGAGCGAGAGGGGGAGCAGGGAGCGGGATGCCCACCCTTGCTCCCCTCCTTCGAGGGAGGCAAGGATGCCCACCTTTGCTGCTCCTCATATCCATCCTCTTACCATCCTCTTATCTCCTCCGCACATGCCATGTCGCCCCTGCTCCTCGCCTCCCTGCAGGACATATCCTTCAAGGGCGGCAAGGATGCCCGACTCGCCCTCAACGCCGCAGCAGCAGCGGCTGAACTCACGTCACCCTCGAAGCCAGGAACCAATGAGGCGCGAGCAGCCCTCTCCTCTTCGTCAGGCTCCCTCGGCCGAACCACCTCGTCCGTGCCGGAGGATAAGGTGCTTGAAATAGAGGATCTGCCAGGTCCGGCCCGAACCAACAGCCGAACCTTCTTAACATGGTCTCAGTGAGGCTGGCTTGAGGCTGGACGATGGCAACACCATGATCGTTTCCCTGGAGATACCATGCTAGGCTAAATGGTTTACTGGTTGTATAAATTAAATTGGGCGTAGGTATGCGGCTTTGTTGGTATATCAGAAGGCACTCAAAAGTGCCTTCGTAGTTGAGAGTGTTTGAGAGGTGGATCACAAGCTTATAAATACATTACACATACATTGGCTTGTTGGAGCTTGTAGTGGATGTATAAAGTATCCATTCCAAGCTCAGTTTCGTCAGGGTGTTTGGCGGCTCGTCAGTTTCCAGAAGCACCAATGTGCGCCTCGTCAGGGCGCGTCACATGTCATCAGTGGGAGGGAGTTGAATTCAAAAACTTCAGTTGCCCGAACCCGCTTTGTAAACAGTAATGACTACAGCTCTGTGAGGGCGGGTGTCCCGTCAATGCCCAGATTCTTTTTATTCCTGTGGGGTCACACGCACATCACCCCCTCCGCTTACTAGCCTTGCCTAAAAGGTAACAAATTATTAGAAGTCTGGATTCTCAGGAGCAACTTCGGATGGTGACCGAAACGCGGACGTCGAAAAACGTCGAAAGATGTCGAGAGGGCTGAACTGTCCGATTTTCGGTACGTCGGAATATCCGACGGCTCACCTTTCTCCACATAGCTCAACATCTTTCGACATTTCACATCAGAGGCTAGTTCTCTCACCCCCCACTGACAGACAGGGCCCACGTGGTTTTCGGAACCAAGAGCACCCAGGCCGCTCCCGCCTTGGCGCGGAGCAGCACTTCAGCCGGCAAGTGCAGCCACTCAAGACGAGGAATGCTCACAGATAGCATTCTTCGTTGGCCAATTCAGCGAAAGATCGTTCGAGGACGTTTCGAAAGCTCGCAGTGAGCTTGCAAGCCGGGTCCGCAAGCTGAGCTCGCGAAGACCAGAGCGTAGACGATTACCTGCCCCGTTGGCGGTGTATTGGTATTAGACCCGTGGCAATCAGCATGGTTTCGGACGACTATCAGGTTACGACCAGTTCGATCAACGCGTATGCAACGAAATAGTTCGTTGATGTCACAGGCTCTAGCATGATACGACCTGGCTTCGAGTTGCGTGTCGCTACTGCTCTCAGCCGTTGTACCTCGTCGGATCAGCCTCTAAAGTCCTTCCACTCGACGCCTGGTGCTACTTTTGACGATTCTTAAGGATCTCATTCGGTTGCTACTGTATCATAGACTGATAGCGAGACGTACGTCAGGGTGATTCTTGCACCACGCTAGTACATGTTCCGACACGCTTGTAGCACTATTACGAATTGCACCGAGCCATGGGTGCAGTATCGGATCAGCACATATCGAAGCACCGGTCGAGCCAGCGGCAGAAGCGAAGAGCATTGCCGTCGCTGCGGCTGGCGCTTCTGCTGCTCGGCGTCGTCTCCGCCGCCTACGCGTGCCTCGTGCGCCCGCACTGCGCGTCAGCGACCCTGCCGCTGTCAAAGGAGGTGAGAGGGCACGGCTTGCTTGTACTGGTTCTGTTTATTGGGGCGTCGCAAGGCCGCTGACCTTGCGGCCTTGCGGGGATGCGACCTTGGCTGTGCAAGGGAGCTAAGGAGCCTCCTGACTCACATCTTGCTTCGACTGCTCTCCCCCTTAATTGAGGTTGGTTTTGAGGATTCTCAGAACCAGCCTCAACAGAAATCACGCGTGCCTCGTGCATCCGCACTGCACGCACGCCAGCGAGCGACCCTGCCGCTGAGAAAGGAGGTACGCGCACGAGCACGCCGCAAGAGGTGGGGAACTCTGCTGTTGGGAGTCGTCTCTGCTTTGGGTAGTACTCAGGAGTTTATTGGGAAGAGGGAGGGGGGAACTGGAGAGCGGTGAGGGAACCAGACAGATGTGAGAGATGTGGAGAAATCTGTGAGAGGTGAGAGGGGTTCGGAGGAGGGGGATTTGGAAAGCGTGGTCCATCTCTTCTTGATTCGTGTTCGATTCTTCCATCCGCCCGTCTCCTCTCACTGCTTTTGCGCCATCTCGCTTCCGATCCGCTCCCTCAACTTCTGTCCCTACTTCGTCCACCTCCGTGCTCCCCCTCTCTCCGCCCCTTTTTCTGTCCCCACGCGGCCCCCACGAGCTAGAGCTGCTGCTAAGGACGCAGGCCCCATCCCCCTCGTTTCGCCCCCCCCCCCCCCCCCCCCCGCCCCACTTCCCTCCCCCTCCCCCGCCCTTTCTTCCCCAATCCAGATTCGTCCCTCCCCCTCTTTCTCACCTTCCCCTCCCCGTAAATCTCCGGTCCTACCATTCCCCATGCGCGCCAACAGGAGCTGGGGATGTCAGATGATGCGTGCGGGGGAAGGAAGAGCTTCTCCCCTTCCCTCCCCCTTTCCTCACATTCCCTTCCCCAACGTTCAAACCTCCGCCCCTACATCCCCCCATGCGCGCCCACGGGAGCTGGAGCTGCTGCAGATGATGCGCGCAGGGGGTAGGCTTTCCCTTTTCTTTTTCCCCCTTGCTCACCTCCCCCTCTCCCCGCCTGTGCCTCCCCCCATGCGCGCCCATAGGAGCTGGGGCTGCTGCAGACGATGCGCGCAGAGGGAAAAAGACTTTCCAGCTTTCCTCCCCCCGTCCTCACCTTCCCCTCCCCTTACCTCCCGCCACGCGCGCCCGCAGGAGCTGGAGCTGCTGCAGACGATGCGCGCAGGGGAAAAAGACTTTCCAACTTTCATCCCCTTCCATCTTCCCCTCCCCTTACCTCCCCCCATCCGCGCCCGCAGGAGCTGGAGCTGCTGCAGACGATGCGCGCGGGGGGGAAGACTTTCCACCGTTCCTCATCTTCCTCTCCCCTTTCTTCCCCTCCCCTTACCTCCCCCCATCCGCGCCCGCAGGAGCTGGAGCTGCTGCAGACGATGCGCGCAGAGGGAAAAGGATTTCTAACCTCCCCTTACCTCCCCTCATGCGCGCCCACAGGAGCTAGAGTTGCTGCAGACGATGCGCACGGGAGGGGGCGCAACGGTGAAGGTGGTGACGGTGGGAGAAGGAGGTGTTGAGGGGAGGGGAAGGGGAAGGGGGGAAGCGGAGGTGGGCGGAGAGGAAGGTGATGGGGAAGGGGAGGCAGCGAGCCTGGGGTACGTGGCGGACCACCCTGACCTGCTGCAAGCACTCCTGGACACTGTGAGTGATGGTGCGTGCTGCGTGTTGTTGCCTGCTGATGGGTGCTGCTTGGGGGAGGAGAGGCAGCGAGCTTAGGGTACGTGGCGGACCACCCTGACTTGCTGCAAGCTCTGCTACACACCGTGAGTGGTGGCTCTGAGGAGTCAGCTCTGCTGCCCGCTGCTGGGTGGTGGCTGCTGCTGCGTGCTGCGTGTTGATGCCTGCTGGTGCGTGCTGCCTGGGGGAGGGGAGGCAGCGAGCCTGGGGTACATGGCTGATCGCCCTGACCTGCTGCAAGCTCTCCTTCTCGCCGTGAGTGATGCGTGTTGGTGATTGCTGGTGGGTGTTGCTACACACTGTGAGTGCTGGTGATCGCTCTCCTACACACTGTGAGTGCTGGTGATCGCTCTCCTACACACTGTGAGTGCTGGTGATCGCTCTCCTACACACTGTGAGTGCTGGTGATCGCTCTCCTACACACTGTGAGTGCTGGTGATCGCTCTCCTACACACTGTGAGTGCTGGTGATCGCTCTCCTACACACTGTGAGTGCTGGTGATCGCTCTCCTACACACTGTGAGTGCTGGTGATCGCTCTCCTACACACTGTGAGTGCTGCCCGCTGCTGGGTGGTGCCTGCTGCTGCGTGCTGCGAGTTGATGCCTGCTGGGTGGTGCTGCCCGGGGGAGGGGAGGCAGCAAGCCTGGAATACGTGGCTGATCACCCTGACCTACAAGCGCTCCTGCTCACTGTGACTGGCGCAGTCCAGCCACACGCACTTCTATGCTTCTTGACTGCCCACGTGCTTTCTTCTTGTACACCCACGTGCTTCTTGACTGTCTAAACGCTCACCCAGCAGCAGGAGCAAGAGGAGCAAGAGGACAAAGAGGAGGAGGAACCAGAGGGGCTGTGGGGACCCATACAGCAGGAGGAATGGAGGCAGTGCGACGCGCCTTCCAGGAAATACCGTGGTGGGTTGAATGAAGCGGGCAAGTTTTGTTGCAATACGCGCGCGTGCTTGTCGCTTTCCCACCATGCATTCATCTTTTGCTTGCACTTCTCCACCCTTCTCGTTCCACTCGCTCTCGCCGCACTCATTCCCATAGCCCCTTTACCACAGTCCATCGAGTATGGATGGATGGAGCATCACTTCTTCCTCCTCTTCCATCGCTCCTCTCCCTTTCTTCTTCCGCTTCCCTCTCCCACGTTCTCCCCTCTCTCCATCCCAAACCAGAGGCGCCACTGCCGGAGTCAAACGGCTATCTGCAGGTGTTTCTAGACGGGGGCCTCAACCAGCAACGCATCAGCGTGAGTGGGTGGGTGGCCGTGTCACAGCGTATTAGAATCTTGACGCGACTAACTATCAGCAGCGCACCAGATCCGTGGGCACAAGAGCAGGAGGGCACATGAGCATACATGGGAGGCTGCCAGGGGCTCGCTCATGCATCCCCGCTCCACATCAGTCAGCACAGCCATGCTGCGCTCTCCTATCCCTGCTCTCTCCAAACCTCCCCAGCATCACATGTGCAGCGCACTGGCCGAGGCGGCTCGCCCGCTGCTCACCACCACCCGCAGCATCCTCCTATTCGGTCCTCACTCTCCCCTCCTCAACCCTGCCTTCCCACTTCCTATCCCTCCCTCATCCTCTTCCTCGCCCTACTTCCCCCATCCCCACCCTTCCCGACCCCTTCCTCTCTCTCCATCCCCCCCCACTCACCCGGCTTCTCACCACATCAAGAGTGCAATGCAAGTCAGTGGCCGTGACTCTCTTGCTCCTCGCCACACAACGCTGCTCAATCGACACTTTCCTCCTCACCCACGCCCCCTTTCCCGGCCCTCCACCACGCCAGGTGTGCAACGCAGTGGCTGTGGCTCGCGCGCTCAACGCCACTCAAACAGCACTTACCTCCCTCTCTTCATCCCCCCACCTCCTTCTCCCCCTCTCTCCCCCTCTCTCCACCTCGCCAGGTGTGCAACAGTGGCCGTGGCTCGCCTGCTCAATGCCAACGGCACCGTCCTCCTCTCCTCTGCTTATAACCTCCTCCCTCCATCTTCTCATCCTTCCCAATCCCCCCTCTTCGGCCCCATAGATTGCCTGCTGAATGCCACTCAAACGGTGCTTACCTTTCTCCCATCCTCCCAATCCCCCCTTTTATCCCCCTCGCCCCCACCAGGTGTTCAACGCAGTGTCAGTAGCTCGCCTGCTGAACGCCACTCAAACGGCAGTTATCTCCCTCACTTCATCCTCCCCACCTCCTTCTCCACATCCTCCTCCTCCCCCCTTCCCCCCACCAGGTGTGCAACGCGGTGGCCGTGGCTCGCCTGCTCAATGCAACGCTGCTGGTCCCCGAGTTCGCCACCAACATCTTCTGGCAGGACTCCAGGTGGGCGGCACACACAGAGGGCAGGTGGGCAGCACACACAGAGGGCAGGTGGGCGGCACACACAGAGGGCAGGTGAGCGTCCATTTCATTGCGCCTCATTGGGTTGACACTCGAACCAAACAGTCAGCTTCCCCCTTTTGCAGATCACTTCTCCCACTGCCCTTTGTGCTCCCCTCCCCCCCCACCTTTTCCTCGCGCCAGTCAATTCGCAGACATATTCGATCTCGACCATTTCATCGCCTCCCTACAACAAGACATCCGAATAGTGCGTCATCTCCCCCGCCACCTCGCGTGGAGCACGGCAGCCTACTATGCCTCCTCGCCCTCCCGCCGCAACAAGCTCGTGCGGTCGGCACCCCTGCACGCCACCAAGAAGTGGTACTTGAAGCGCGTGCTGCCACGACTCAAGCAGTGAGTGCTGTGCTGGTATCACCGCACGTTACCTCTCCGCATGTGGTGCAGCCAGCCCTGCGCCCCTGCACGCCACCAGGAAGTGCATGCTGCTGCGGCTCAAGCATTGAGTGGGGGTTGCATTGCGGAAATGCCTCGTGCAACCCAGAACCTTGTATGCAGTAGTGGTGTGACCTGTTCATCTGCTCCACGCCCCTGCATGCCACCAAGGCGTGGCGGCTCTTGTCTTGCGCGTGCTGCCATGGCTGAAGCAGTGTGTGGCTTGCAAGGTGCACCTAGTGGTGACGGTGCCTTTTATGCCAAAGACCAACCACCTCCACTCCCCTACACACACACACACACACACACACACATACACACACACACTCACACACATGCACGCACACACACACACACACATACACATACACACACACTCACACACGTGCACGCACACACTCACACACATGCACGCACTCACTGTACCTCCCCCTGGTCTATCCCCCTCCAGGCGGGGCAATGTGGCGATCATGCCCTTCTCCCACCGCCTCGCCTTCACGCACATGTCCCCCTGTCCCGCACTCACACGACTCCCCGCTCTACGCTTCTCCTCTCCACGCTTCTCCCATCCCCGCTTCTTCTTTCCCACCAGGCGTGGCATCGTGGCCCTGACGCCCTTCTCCCATCGCCTTGCCTTCACGGGTCTGCCCCCCTCCCTGCACTCCCCACTCACACACACACACGGCTACTCTCCTCTCCATGGTTCTCCTTCCCCCCACCAGGCGAGGCATCGTGGCACTGACGCCCTTCTCTCACCGCCTTGCCTTCACGGGTCTGCCTCGGGAGATCCAACGGCTGCGGTGCCGCGTCAACTTCCATGCGCTGCGATTCGTGCAGCCAATCAGGGAGTTGGGGTGAGTGCAGCCAATTAGGGAGCTGGGGTAAGTCCGGTCCGGCCATGCCTATGCATGCTGTATCCACTGTGACTCAGAACGCTGCCTCAACATCTTTATAGTGCCACCTCGAGAGGCACTGCAGCTTCTGAGAGCGCATCAAGACAGGGATATTCGATCCGGGGCCTAGGAGGGGTGAGGTGGGTTAAGATGTGAACGTCGAAACTGTTTTCGTTCCTTGTGACCTCGTTTTTTGAAAGGAGGAGGGTGGTTATTTGCGGGAGGCCCTTACCCTGCTTTCTCCCCCCAGCTAGACAGAAGCTGGTGCAGCGAGTGCAGGACCCCTCCCCTCCCTATGCCCCAACCAAAGCTGGTGCAGCGAGTGCTGAGGACCCCCCTTCCTTGCGCCTGAACCAAAGCCTAGAGTGCAGTACACCATCTCCCTCCTCCCTTGCCTCCACACTCCTCTTTTTCCCCTCCCGTTACCCCTCCGCCTCCCCTCTGCAGGCAGAAGTTGGTGCAGCGAATGCAGGACCCCTCCCTGCGCCCCAGCCGTAGGGGAGCGCCCCTCTCCCTGTCTCACAGTATGAGTGGTGCTGAGATGGGGGAGGGAGGCGGGGAGAAAAGCGGAAGAGGGGAAGGGCGCGGAGAGTCGGAAGAGGGTGCGGAGAGGAGTTGGGGAGCGACACAGTGGCTGTGGCTGTCCGACGGAAGGGAGGTGGAGAGCGCTGTTGCGATGGTCGGGGATGCAGGGGCGGGTGACGACAGTGGGGGAGAGGGAGAAGGGAAAGAGGGATGGAAAATAGGAAGTGTGAGAGGGAGTGATGAAGGAAGAAGGATCCGGGTGGAGCTGGTAGGGGATGGAGGGGAGGGAGTAGACATGGGGGGAGAGGGAGGAGAGGGTGGAGTGAGAGGGGAAACAGGAGGTATGAGTGAGGGTGGAAAGGGGGAGGAGGAGAGAGAAGAGGGGATTGAGGAGTTGGGAGGGGAGAGGGTGCGGGAGGAGGTGGGGAAGGGAGGCAGTGGAGAGGAGCTGGAGGAGTTGCTGTGGTGGGAGGCGAGGGGGAAAGGATTGGAGCAGGGAGGGCAGAGGGGTGGGAGGGATGAGGAGGCGAGGGAGAAAGGATCGGAGCATGGAGAGCAAAGGGATGGGAGGAATGATGAGAGTGCGGAGAAGGGGAGGGAGAGAAAACAGGTGCTGCATGGGAGGGAGGGGGCGGGGAGGGATAGCAGCAGGCGTTGGGAGAGGGAGCTTGAAGGAGGCGAGGGGGAGGAGGGAAATGGGCGATTAGCATACCGGGGCAGCGATTTTTCGTGGGATTATGAGGGAAGCGAGGATGAAGGGAGTGGTGGTGCAGACAGGGAGAGTGTGGGGATTGAGCGTGTGGGGAGCGGGGATGGGACGAGTGAGAGGGGACTGCTGGGGGGCTACAGACGCCGGCGGTTGCTGAAGGCGATGGGGCAAGTGGGAGTGGTGGGGGGCGATGTGCGGGGGAGCAGGGATGAAGCAGAGGGGAACGATGTGGGGGGGGATGAAACAGAGGGGGACGAAGCAGAGGAGGATGAGGAAAGGGGAGGCGTTGCCTGGGTAGGAGGCCAGAATGAGGGGCTTGTATTGGAAGGTCCTCGCACAGAGGGGGGGGTGGAGAGAGGGGAGGATGGGGGAAAAGGAGGTTCACTGCGGTGGGAGGCGGTGAAGAGGCGAGTGAGGGAGGTGAGGGAGCTGCGGTTGCGCATAGAGCAGCGCGTGCGAGCGCGGCTGGAGCAGTGGGCGGAGGGCATGCGGCTGGCGAGGATTGGCGCCATGTGGGGCGCGTGGAAGCACATGCAGCGGATGAGGGGCGAGGGGAGTGAGGGGAGAGAAAGGAGGGAGGGGAGTGAGGGGACGGAAGCGAGGGGGTGGAGGGATGTAAGGAAAGAGGTGCGCAAGGAAAGCGGGGGATTGATATGGGTGTTCAAAGGAGTGCAGAGGGTGATTGTAGCGGCCATCAGGGTGTTACGATGGAGGAAAGGGACGGATGGGGGGTTGAAGGGGAGAATGGTGGGAACTCAGGCAGTGGAGGGCGGGCAGAGGAGAAGGAGGTTCCTGGCGATGCACCTGCGATTCGACCTGGTGAGTCACCTGAAACACATACCCAACCGCTATTTTTTCAAGCTCACAACCTCATTCCCCTCTCTACATGACTTTCCCCTCCTCGTTCCCTTCCTCACACAGGAGATGGTGGCACACTCAAGGTGCGACTATGGGGAGGCGATGGAAAGGTGGGCACAGTGCAACACATGAACCATGCTGCTCCCTCGCCCCCTTAACACGAACCTCCCTTTTCCCTTGCTTGCCCTCTCTTCCCCCCACACAGGATATGGTGGCACACTCAAGGTGCGACTATGGGGAAGCGCGGAAGGAGCGGGAGCAGCTGAGGCGATACTGGAAAAGGGCGTGGGGGGAGCTGGAGGGTAAAGTGCAGCACACCCCGCAGCAGCTTAGGGCGGCCGGCAAGTGTCCCCTCACGCCAGAGGAGGCGGGGTTGGTGCTGGCTGCGCTGGGATTTTCCAGACACACGCAGCTCTACGTGGCTTCATACAAGGTGTGGGGTGGTGTGGGGTGGTGTGGTGTGGTGCGGTGCGGTGCGGTGTGGTGTGT